TGCTGTTTCCAACCAAGGCGGAAACAAACAAAAAAAAATAATTAGATTTGTGTCCCAGAGTCTTTCCTAGCATCTGGAAGGCAGTCCTGAGATGTCCAGGGCCAACACAGGACCATTTCAGCCATCTGGATCAGAACCAGAGAAAATAAGGGACTGATTAAGAGGAGCTGGCATTTCCCTTTCTCCTGACATCTGTCAGACATCATAGAATAAGCGCACTAGCTGGTATCTGATCAGAAATGCAATTGTGCTTCCCAGAATCTAGAAAGAAGAAAAAAAAATTGCAATGGTGAGTTGACTGCCACTTGGACAGTGCCTAGCCCTCTGGAAAGCATTTGGGACTTAAGCAAGTGGTCTGCCTAAGCGAGACAACTTAATTAGAAATGGTGCTATTTGTATGTGTGTGGAAGGGGGCATGATGGGTGATGAGAGTTCCTTGCAGTGCTCTTTAGAGAGGATCTTTGTAATGGAGTCACAGAGGGGAGAGGATAGCCTGTGTGCATACATACAGAGTTGGAATAGGCAACAGAGATGCTTGTCAGGTCTTCACCATTTCATGCAGAGGTGGGGAGCAACCCAGGAAGTAGAGGAATGGAAAGGGAGACATGAGACATAAGACGAAGCCAGGGGGAATTCAAATGTCCCTTAAACCAGAATATTCTGCTTTGAATGTGCTATCTATTAGAACAGGGCAGTCCAACTTCTGGACCCTGGGGGCACCACAGACCCCTATGGGCTGCATGCAGCATGGGCAGCTCAGCTCCTCTCCCTCCAGCCGCACAGGCAGCCCAGGCCATTCTACACAGCTCTGCCCAGCCCCCGGGAGTGAAGGCAAGACACAAGCTGGAGGGGAAAGAGGGACAGCTCAGAGATCCTGACCATAGCAGCAGGAGCGATTTGGGGGGTTGGGAGAGGATGGGGGACAGCAGGGGGGAGAGAAGCCTGCACGCAACCTGTGGGACATCAGTTGGACAGCCCTGTATTAGGGAGCAGGCTTTTCTATCCAAAAGACCATTTGCCTGACCTGGATGAGTAGCAGCAGGATGGTGAGTGTTTGCTCTGGGGTTGGTCCAATGAGCTTTATAACAAAGTTAATGATAGTCATGTTGTTGCATTCTGTGTATTCTCCATCTTCATCCACTCCCCGTCTTACATCTACAACGCGCAAGCTCTCTGATACCTGGGAAAGAAATTTAACCACCACTTAACTGGATGAAATAGATATTTGCTAGTTAGGGTCTGGTAGGGATGTGATAAAAATGTCTTCCATACATCCTAGTCAGTGATCTCTTCTACTGTTCCAGTCCTGGGGTTTGCTTCAAGGGAACAGATCTAGGGACAGGTTTAAATCAGGCCTTATGCAGCTAAGCTTCGTTTTGGAGGGATTCTAATAAATGTGAGCATCCAGCATTGGAGTCAGACTACAAGAGGCCTGTTTTGGTTTGGTTTTTTTTACTAAAGTTCTATGTTGTTCAGAGGAAATGACTGAGGCTAAACAAAGGTATTATCCTTCTTCAGAGCACAGTGGCTGACTGACCTTCAGAATGCATGCTCCCAGGGTTGAGAGACTCTTGGTTTTAAATTTGGAGTAGCTCATTTCCAGTTTCCCTGTAGCAGGATTTAACCTGAAAGGAACAGCAAAATGCATTTTAATCATACCAAAAGAGACAACTGAATCCCTGCATAAAGCAGAGATAGGAGTGGTCTAAAAGGAGGTGGTGCCGAAAGTGGGAGTAATTCTATGAACGTGACAGTCCTGACAGTGCAGCAGCCCGAGCCCATCACATGGGGCAGAAATGGGAGAAACCTTTTTGTTACTACTTTACAGAAGCTTGTATGGATCAAAAAGCAAGGTAGAACATGCATGGTGTAGGTAGGGACTATCTATGCTGCAAAAACTGCCAGAAGACTGCATTAGAACAGCCTCTCAGCTAAGCGGCCACAGTTCAACCTCACCCGTGTGGTTGGGAAAATAAACATGTGAACTAGTTAGCAACTCGAGTTACAGCTCCAGCTTTGCAGGACTGTAAAATTATTTCTTAATGAGGCTAGAAAGAAACCCACATGCCATGACTCAACCGTATTAGGCGAGAGCTGTATTTAATTCAGAAAACAGCAACCATGGTGCAACCATAAAATCACAAGATTTATTCAATTTATGGCTACGCTGTTCCCGACCACAAGGAAGGGCAGTAATTACCAAATAAAATTCTCCACAGCTCTGGTATCTTTCTCAATCCTAGTTGGTGAATAAGGGCTACATCTCCATTTTCACTCCCTCCCCCAACCACAGACTACATTATGTCCATTAATACCCTCCAAAGATTCCACCGAGACTATTCCACCTGCGTCAGCCCTAGCACCAAGCCAGAACCAAACTTCCTCACAGGTACTGTCACATTACTTCTTACTCTCAGTCACTTATATGCTTCTTACCTGGGCAGCCGATGTCGGGGGCAAGGAATGATGTGAAACAGCTGAGGTAGTGAATACAGGAAGTTGAGCACTTGTGGGAGGAAGAAGAGCAGCATTGTCTTGCTGAAGTGCCCAAGGATCCCTACCACAGCAAAGGTCATTCCAGCAAAATAGCAGAATGTGTCCCCCACAAAAACACGGGACGGGTACCTGCAAGCCACACAGAAAGTGTGAGGATGGGGTGCAGCATGAGATAAAAATCAATGACAGACAAAGATGATGTTCCCAGTCACGTGGGGGATTTCAAATATGATATGTATATGTTAGACAGATTTTAGTACGCAGGGGACTTGTTCTAATGAGAAACCTTTCTCCTGTTAAGAGTGCAAGGACAGATTATCTATGATCGATGAAAGGCACAGGCTTGGGAGTCTGAAGTCTTCTTCTGAATTATGGGGCACTTGCTGGAGAGAGATTGGGACACAAAGCAGTTAAGTGATCTGCCCAAGGGCATACGAGGCATCAGTTGCAGGACATAATACCCTAAGTAGAACTCCTAACTCCCGTCCTATGCATTCATTAGAGACAGCTTCCTATTCATCATTAATCTCTCGTACACTCTGCTCACTCAGAATGGCATGAGAAATACCAATTTGAGTCTCAGACTACAGGGAATAGTCATGCTATAAATACCGTTATGTCTTTAAGCTTCCTCCGTTTGCTTCTTTATGATAAGAGCCTCAAAAAGACACTCCCATTCATCTTTAAGTCTAACAGGAACACCCAAACCTTTGCCAAGCCTGGCATGACTCTACAAGTTGTGGTTACAGGAGGAATAATTTTAATCTTTGTGACCTCTGTAAATGCTTTTAAGAGTTTCCCAATTCTATGTTAAACTCTTTATTTTGGCAAATATTTCTATGTCCATTTTTCCTGCTCACGCCTACCAAATATACTCCCATGAGAGTTTGCTAGGAGTACTGTTGTCATAAACTATTCTACTGACACTAACTGGATTAGTACCTGGCAAGTCAAGGAGCAAGATGACTGCAGCCCCAGCTGGACTGACTATAGTCCAGTCTAAGAGTTTCCAGCTTTCTATTTGGCGGACCTATAGTGCTGCTGATGAAGTAATTATATGTACTAATGTAAAGAGTGTTTCTATTATTACCTTACCATGGGAGATCATTATAAGCTCAGGCACATCTGTATACCGCTTTTAGCTGCCTCACAGAATGTGAACAGAACCTTGTTACTGTTGCAACTGCAGTTTCTCTGGGCAAATCTTACCATCTTGGTATCCTGTTCTAAGTCACTCTGCCACGAGCAGGCAATGCACATACATTGCAACTGCGATTATACAATAAATCTCTGCATTGCAATCCCAGAATATGCCTGTATTCAGCAAGGATCACCTTGAATATTGACTCTATTGCAGTGGTTTTCAAAGTGTGTTCCTAGGAACTCTGGAGTTCCACAACAGGCCATTCCGGGTTCTGCAAAGAGCTTGTGATTAAGGGCTGAGAAGGCGAGAAGCCAGTGTGCTGACACTGGGACCAGGTTGCCTGGCTCCATGTCAAGTCTTTAGGATAGGGGTAAGGGTTCCACAGCAGAAGGTTATATGAAAGGTGTAGGGGCAGGAATCTTTATGATACCAAGCCAAAGGTGTAGGGGCAGGAATCTTTATGAAGCTCTTAAATACATGTTCCTTCCTTCCAGTCTCTTACCAGTTGTGATAAAGCAGCCCCAGAGTGGTGAAAAAAAAGGGAATCATGAAGTAGAGAGAAAAAATATGATCATCCTGGTAATCTCCTGTGGAAAAGGGACACAGAACAAATTAGTAATAATCAGGGATCTAGAGGAAGTCTTGGAATCAGTGCATGGATCTAACTACGTTAGGTTTGTATACATTGCCTGTCAATAGAATCCAAGGCCCCCTTTCCCTTCTTTTTAGTCTACCTTTACAATCCTACAGGTCTTCCAATACATCAACTTCCTCCACGTTTGGGGCAATTTCTTCCATGGGTTTTTGCGCCCCCAAAAGACACTAATCCTTTCCTTACCATTTAATTCAACGATGTTGAAAACGATGATGGAGGCAGCAATCACCAAAGACTGTCCTGCCTCAAGCCCATTAATTCCAGCGAGAATGTTGATGGCATTGGTGCAAAAGACTGCGAGCATGCCCATGTACACATAATACAGGATACCTGCAATCACAGACAGAACCAAGGAACTTCACATCCAAGTTTTAACAAGATGTACATTCAGTGTAATGCCAAGCAAACATTTTACTTTTATCTTCTGTCTTGTGAGCTCAGCACATTTCACAATAGTTAAAGAAACATCTTCCTTACACACATATGCACACTTTTACATTTGTAGAAAGCGAAGCAGAGCAGAAATTCCAAGACTAGTCAAGGGCAGAGCTGAGAGTGGAATCAAAGTCTTCAGATAACTACTTTTGTGCTTTGATCTATTTGCTGTTCTCACCTGAACATCATTAGCATGTGGAACTCATTGGACTTAGGGTCTCACTGTGTTAAGATGTTTGGAGTGTATCTGGACAAAGCAAACCAAATTCTAAATTACTGCATTAGTTGGACGGACCTATCAGTAAAGCTCTCCACTGCTGGAATCTACTGACTCAGCCAGTGGTTCTATTGGGACAATCCCTTGTGGAGGAAGGCCGCAACAGATTACAAGTTGCTAGCTGCCACCCTCACAGCTTCCATGCTCAAAGATGATGGCTTCCGGTGCTCTATCACTCACCCAGGTCCAAGTGCAGACCCAGCAGTACCCGGAAGGGCTTTGGCACCACAATTGTCGTGTTCCCAAAGTTGGTGAAGTAAACCATTAGGAGAGGAAGGGAGGCCATGGTGGGAAGTAGCAGCTTGTGTCGCCAACGCAGGTTCAAAACATCATCCGCAAAGCCCAGGAAAATCATACAGCAGATGGCAAGCAGGGAACCGATGAGCTCCACAAACTTGAGTGGAGAGAGGACAGCACAATGGTTATTACAGATACATCAGCCACCAACCCTCCTGCTCAGATGCCAAATGAAGATGTGTTTGTCTTTGAGATGGGATACTTTTGAGGACCCAGCCAAACACAAGTGTGCGTTAACTATTCCCATCAGGGTGCTGAACCAAACGGGCTTTGTTGAGCACTGTGAAGAAAATCACTCACCTCATGGTAAGGAAATACCTTGCATTGCTCCTCTACAAAACAGCTCAGAAAGGGCACAGGAATGAAGCAGAAAAGGATGATCAAAAACACTGCTCCACTGATCACACCTTGGGATTCAGGGCTGAAATAGGCGAATGGGGTAAAAAAAACCATACATTGATTCTTACAGAGCACTAACTTCTTGAAAGCTAGCCTGGCATGCCAGCAGTGCTGTTACATTTTCACTGCTTCTCCACTACTGGATTCATCAGCAGTACTTGGCTAACTGCAATCAACTGGATGCAACACTTCTGACAGTTGGCAGCCACGTTGTAGAACATCAACGCATCCTGCAACAGCTCAGAATGAAGGGCAGCCTCCAGCCAACAGGGCAGTTTCCTGTTCCACGGCATTTAGTATTTGCGGAACAGTCTCTCAGTGACTGGCATATAGGTTCTCCTGGTAAATCTGCCAATGTCCAGGTTGCTGCTTATCCCAAACATCTAAAATGGTCAGGAGAACAAATAAGATTCCAGAAACTTGTAATGGATTATAAATAGCTGACTAGAAATCCAGATTTCAGCTGTTTGAAACTCTGGCAACATTTAGAACCACAAGTGGTTGTGGTTCTAAGCCAGTTGACTAATGAGTAATTAAATGTGATCATAAAGGGTTTTGTTACAAAAGGACTTGCCTCTCCAAAGTTCAGTTCCCACTAAAAATGGGAACAATAATCGTTACCACAGATTATGGGGTGTTGGTTCTAGCCATGTTGGTCTAAGGACATAGGCAGACAAGGTTCTTTGGGTCAATGTGCTAGTTTTTATTAGACCATCTAAACAGTTGGAAACCTTCTTTCCAAGCTTTCAGGCACAAATACATTTTCACTGCTAAACACATTTTAACTCCTCATCTGCAAAGATCATTCACACGAGATCATCTCTCCTCAAGACATGATTTAACCTTTAATTGAGAGGTAGCTTATGCTTACAAGTTAATGTCTTTGACTTCTGAATAAAAACCCATAAACTTGCTCTCTAGTTATGTGAGATTGACCTACATTTCGGCCCTTTATAGCCTTGACTAAGTAATATTTTTATGCATTCGATAAAAATTCCAAGTCGGAGCCGTTTTACTTCAGTATTTTGGATTTCTTCGGTTATTTGATTTTCCTGTGGGGCTTTGCAAGAGCAACTGCAGGTCAGGGAATTTATCCAAGTATTTATCAGGGGGGGCTTGCTTTTCTAGGTAGGGTTAGGCGACAACCGGAGCAGGGCAGCACGGCTCACACCCGCGCCTGGGGCCTGGGGCGGGTCCGTGTTTGCAGTGAAGGGGGACAGCGACAGGAGGAGATGCCCTCGGCCCTGCCCCGCGGGCCTCGTTACTCACACGGGCTGCCTGGAGGTTTTGTTCAGGTCGAGGCCGAAGAGCTTGGCCGCGATGAAGTGGTCCTTGAAGGCGGGGATCAGCGTCACTGTGGCCGCCAGCCCCAG